TCCTTTCCATTTATTGCCTGGATTTTCCTTAGTGATGGAAAGAGCCTGAGAACTGACACAGTAAGCGGCAACCCTTCTTGCTTTCTTCCTTCTACTCTAGTTGAGTCTGGCTTTCTCTTCTCCACCCTCCTCCACATCCTCCTGATACTGTATCACCAATGCAGGGGACTAGACTGGCTAAGAATGCCCCTCCCCTCCCCCCAGTACCTCCTATGGGGAGGAGGGTGGGGGAAGTTGAGAGCGATAAAGCTATAATTATTTTAATGAGGGGACGTGAGGAAAGATGGAATAATTGACTGTTATACCTCATTTACTTATCCATCCATTCAGTTACTCAGTAATCATTTATTGAGCACTTGTCATGTGCCAGAGGCTAAGACTATAGAGGGAAATAAGGCACCATCCTGGTTCTCATGGAGCTCAAAATCTAGGGTGGGCAGTGGTGTGCAAGAGCCAGCACTCACCCACTTGCCGGAGCTGCTTGTTAAATTTTTAAGAATTTTGTGAGTCAGTTATTAAATACAGCCCTTATTAAAAATTAAATTATGTAACTTACTAATAAATTATATTAAAAACAAGTGTAGTACAGACTCATCACTTTCTAATTATTTTGCTAATATCTATGCCCTTTAGATTATGTCTATTATACTTGTGTAGTGGAAGTACTATATGGTGGTATAATGCACATCTCTTCCCAACTCCATGTGTTCAGTGAGGTCCCATTGGTGGCTTGAAATCTGCCATGGTGGAGGTACTTACACCAAGGAAATTGGCAAATGTTACAAATCAGGGCTCCCTTCTTTGTAACCAGCTGTTACACATTTACCAGCACACACTCTGTGGGGGAGAGAAGAAGTAAGAGGAGACAGAGAAGTAAGAGGTCACTACAGTATAATACAGAGGGAAGTACAGAGTACTGCGGGAACACAGAAGAGGGGAAGTTAGTCCAGGGTAGTGGAGGATGATAGAGAAGGCCTTCAGCAAGAAGTCTGAAGTGCTGGTGGGAATGAGCTAGACATAGGGGACAGTGGGTGGGGATAGGGCAAAAGAGCCTGGTTTATTAAGGCAATTGTGAGTATTTTAGTACCTCAGTAACAAGAAGTCTTCAGGACAACGATGAGATTATGGAGGGCCAGGATGGGTCTCTGAGGCTTATTCTGGATGCAGTGAGGAACCAGTGAGAGGTTTCACATAGAATGTGCCATGCGCACAATGACATTCTGTAAAGATCATTCTGGAGTCTGTGAGGAAGTTACTGTAGTAGCCCAGGTGAGAGATCTTGATGGCCTGGACTGAAGTCGTGGTAGCAGTGACCGTGAGAAGGGAATGGGGTGGAGAGATAGTAAAGGACCTAGGACCGATGGGACTTGTGGTTATATGTGAAGTGAGAGAGAGAGAGGGAGGGAAGAAGATATCAAGGATGATATCCCAGTTTCTTGGATAGGTGAGTGGGTAGTTGGTTATACCTCTGGGATCGAGAATATAGATAGAAGAGTAGGCTTGAGGGAGGGTGGGGAGCATAAGTTGAGTATAAGTTACTGTGAATATCTAAGTAGGGGAGTCGATTCAGACACTGGATATATGGCTCTGGACTTTAGAGGAGAGGGGAGGGTGGGAGAAAAGGCTGTGGGAGGTGGCGTGCCATGAAGAGGGCCTGATGTTTAGAGTTTATGTATTTTTATGTATAACTTCTATAATTAATAGTTTGTGTGTATTGATTTGTAGTTTAACTCTGAAGACCAGCTCTACTTTCATTTTTTTAAATTGTTGGGTTGGGGGCAGTGGTTGGGGCAGACCATCCCTTTCTGCTGTGCTCTCTACCACTGTGGGGACAGTGAGAGGTCTTCAGATCAGAGTTCATTGATGAGAACGATGTAATGAAGACCTGCTGTGGGCATGGCCCTATGCTGGGAAGGCTAGGCCGTATGAGAGTCCTTGGACACACAGTCCTTGCTCACGAGGAATGTCGAATCTAGCATGAGGGGGCTGGATGGCTAAATATGTGCTATGAAAAGGTACTCAAACACAGGTCAGTGTCCTATGTGCCAACTGAGTTACAGGCCAGAAATACTACAGTGGTTTAGGGAAGGCAGAGATCACTTAGGACTGAAGTATTCAAAGGGCTTCATAGAGGAGGCAAAACTTAACTCACTGGACCATTCTGGAAGTCTGGAAAGTGCAAAGTCCAACACAACAAGGGAGAGCAAGCTTCCCAGTTACTAGTCACAGTGGAGGTTGTTGTCAGTGCTTCCAAAATGGCTCTGTTTGGTCTACATCTCTTCCATATATGTAAAATAGAACTAATAATTTCTGTCCCCTGGGCTTTTATGAGCTCTAATCTTATTAGTTCTCTGTCAGAAACCTTCAGTTGTTCCTGATCAGTACTAGATTATATTTTCTCTTCCTGTCTTTTAAGTCTCTCTACAGTTTGAAGACAACATTTGTAATGAATATTTGTGCAGTGTTTTACAGTTTCTAAGTTTACTCCAGGAATGCAAGTATAGTGTAGTATTAGAAAATATATGTCATATACGACATTGAAAGATTAAAGGGAAAAATGCGTATGATCATCTCATTAGATTCACAAAAACATTTGATAAAATTCAGTTTAACTTTATGATTAAAAAATAAAACACAAGGGAGTTTTCTTAATTTGATAAAGGCCATCTGCAGAAATCCTAAAATTAACACACAGTGAGGAAACACCACAAACATCTTTTTTAAAAGCAGGAAGACGACAGGAATATTCATTAGCACACTTTATGTTCAACATTCTGTGATATATGACTAAAGGTGGCATAACAGGTGAGTGGGAAAAAGAAGTATTCAATAAATGGAACTTAAAGGAAAAAATTAGATCCATTTAATATAGTGACATAAAAATCAACATCAGATAAAGTAAGGGCTTAAATATCAAAAGCAAAAATGTTAAACCTTTGGTATAAAATAGAAATTTATATCTGTCTGGCATGGAGTAGGGAAGGACACTAACTACAAAAGAAATTATACTTGTGGGATTTTTTTTTTTTTTTTTTTTTGCGGTACGCGGGCCTCTCACTGTTGTGGCCTCTCCCGTTGCGGAGCACAGGCTCCGGACGCGCAGGCCCAGCAGCCATGGCTCACGGGCCCAGCCGCTCCACGGCATGCGGGATCTTCCCGGACCGGGGCACGAACCCGTGTCCCCCGCATCGGCAGGTGGACTCTCAACCACTGCGCCACCAGGGAAGCCCAACTTGTGGGATTTTTAATATGAAGTTTTTTTATCTTTACTGGGTTCTCCCCTTCCTTGATAACATTCTCTGTTTTGAGATTTTCTTCACCTTTTAAACACATGATTCTAATCATCTGTCTTGATATTTGTCATACTGTGCTCAGCACCCTGAATGCAGGCAGTCCCCAAGTTCAGAGGTCTGTAGCTTACATTTTCATGCTGAAGTGAAAGTGGGAAGGAAGCCAGAAGAGGCATCTGTCCTGGTCAGACAAGCTGTGGGTCTGGCATGCTGGTTATATTGGAATGTTCTAGTGGTTACCAATCCCAGTGTGAAATTGAGAGAGACTCTCAGGTCTCCGGAACTTTTTCTTAACCATAGCAACGCCTATCTTGAGCCAGTTTGCAAGACTAGGTGGTAGCATCAACGGAGGCCCACTAGGGGAAGGCAAAGGAAGCTACTCTCAGTGTCTTAGAGTTGGAGTGAACTGTGGGTCCCCAAATCTACACAAGTGGAGAAGATTCTGTTTTTCTACTAGCAAAGCAGAGCTTAACCTGGTCCAAAGAGACCTAACTCCAATGTCCTGGACTTGACTTGGAGCTGAATAGTTTTACCAGTTTGGGGAGAAGGTCCTTTCCTTGCTCATTTTTTGGATTCTTCTTTCCCACCCACCATCAAGTTGAGACTTGTTGCTCAGGAGTGATTGGGCATCTAGCTGGCATCCCATAGGAATGAGTGTTTTGTCTTTGGTATAGAGGGCTTTGAGATTATGGGTGGCTCTTGCTAGTCACCACCTGCTCATTTAGGCCACATAGCTAGTCTTTATATAACAGTTACAATCCCTTGTCTTTCTATGGGATTATGGTTTCACCAAAGCTTTCACTCTTGTGCCACTGTTCTCCACGCTGTAGCCAATGTGATCTTTCTAAAGCACAAATGTGTTTACCCACTTCCTGCTCCACTTCTTTGCTTAAAACTCTGATGGCTTCTCATTGTTTTAGAATGAAATCCAAACTCCTTAGCTTTGTTTATGACACTTAAAAGACTGCTCAGTCTTCTAGGCTTTTCTCTTGATACTCTTCTTTAGTTTTACTGAACTTCCAGTGCTTTGAACATACTTGACTCCTTTTCTCTGGGTCTTTGTTCATATTGTTTCCTCTGCTGTTTCCCATCGTCCTTTTTACCTGGCTAATTTCTGCTCTTCCTTAAGACTTCTGTTTTTCCTCAGCTTCTAGTAAGTTTTTCCTTAACCTGCCAGCACTGGGATAGTTGCCTATCCTTTGTGCTTCTGAGAAATGTTTTCCTGGCTTTCTCTGTCACTGAACTCTAAGCTTTGTGAAAGCAAGGTCTGTGATTTCCTTATTGTTGTGTTTCTCTTGAATTTAAATACAGTGCTTGGCACATAGTAAACTCCTTTAAATGTTCGTTGAATGAACCAACATCCCTGTGAAGTGAGTGGTATAGTGCTTAATCTCTCCTCACCCCCTACCCTTTTAGGGATGGAGAGATGGAGGATAAGGACCTCCCACAAAGTTACACCTGTGCTTGATGGAAGAAGCTGAGCTCGGATCTGAGGGGTACATTTTCTGAGGGGTGCATTTTGCACTGGAAGATCCTGAAGAATATTCCTGACCCAGTGATTTCCTTCCCTGCTGGGTCTGTGGTGAAGAGAACAGGCTGACAGAGATGCCCCTGGTGGGTGGGCAAATGCATGGGTTTGTGGCAGTTGGATGAACGAGTTTACCAACATGTGATCCTCTCTTTCCCTTCCCACTCCCTTCCTGTTCACAGCATCAAGCTGAGCTCCCAGCCCCCAATACAGGCTGGGGATGACGAAAAGAACCAGAGGACGATTACTGTCAACCCTGCCCACATGGGGAAGGCGTTCAAGGTTATGAATGAACTGCGGAGGTACTTTTCCTATTTTGCTCGTGCCCTTTTGGAAGGAACTTGCTGGGTGAGCGTCATCAGGGACTGAGAACAGAGGTCAGAGCACCACCAACTAGTGAAGTCTGACTCTTCCTCACCCACACTTGTCACTTGGCTTTCCCTTTCAAACTCTGATAGAGACAGAATGGCTTCCTCAAATTTCTCTCTTTCCTTTGTATTTATTTAACACCTATTGTTTCAGTGCTTAATCACTGGGGAAAAAAGTCCATTATGGTTACAGCAGTTCTGTTCATAAACTTGATTTCCAACTGAACCAGCTGCATGAAGGCCAGTAATAGAATGATTGCAAGACCTACACACAATTGCAGATTAAAGATTGTGGATGCCAGGCTTTCTTTGGGCCTCCCTTTCTCATGCTTTGGCCTGAACTTTTGTCTTTGTCAAGACAACCACGTGAATGGAAGAATACCTAGCTTCTAAAATGCAGTTTAACTCTATAAAGAAAGAAATGAAATGCAGAAGCACTCATCCTCACTGAGCTAAACAGTGAGGGGTGTGCAGGCTATTTGTAAGACCAATGTGCATGTTTGCTGAGCTTTTTTGCAAGACAGGTTCAGGGCACTGAACATGTTTTTCTGTACGAAGGCTGTGCATACAATCTCTTCTTTATCAGAGAGCTCAGAAGCTTCCTTTGCCCATGGCGTTATTTGTTATCTTTTTTATTGAAATACAATAAATTATTGATTTACAATGTTGTGATAGTTTCAGGTGTACAGCAAAGTGATTCAGTTATATATATATATTCTTTTTCAGATTCTTTTCCATTATAGATTATTACAAGATATTGAATATAGTTCCATGTGCTGTACAGTAAATCTTGTTTATCTATTTTATATATAGTAGTATGTATCTGTTAATCCCAAACTCCTAATTTGTCTCTCCCCCACCCTTTGCCCTTTGGTAAACATAAGTTTGTTTTCTATGTCTGTGAGTCTATTTCTCTTTTGTAAATAAGTTCATGTGGATCATTAGTTTAGAGTCCACATATAAGTGATATCATGTGATATTTATCTTTCTCTGTCTGACTTACTTCACTTAGTATGATAATCTCTAGGTCCATCCATGTTGCTGCAAATGGCATTATTTCATTCTTTTTTATGGTTGAGTAGTATTCCGTTATATATATATATATGTAAAAAACGATGGTGTATATATGTATCTATATCTATATCATATATATATGGTATATATATACCATATCTTCTTTATCCCTTCATCTGTCAATGGACATTTAGGTTGCTTCCATATCTTGGCTATTGTAAATAGTGCTGCAATGAACATTGGGGTGCATGTATCTTTTTGAATTAGAGTTTTCATCTTTTCCATATATATGCCCAGGAGTGGGATTGCTGGATCATATGGTAGCTCTATTTTTATTTTTTTAAGGAAATTTCATACTGTTCTCCATAGTGGCTGCACCAGTTTACATTCCCACCAACAGTGTAGGAGGGTTCCCTTTTCTCCACACCCTCTCCAGCATTTATTATTTGTAGATTATTTGATGATGGCCATTTTGACTGGTGTGAGGTGATGCCTCATTGTAGTTTTGATTTGCATTTCTCTAATAATTAGTGATGTTGAGCATCTTTTCATGTTTCTGTTGTGCCCATGCCATTATTTACCACATATTTCATCCTATTGTGAGTTGTAACTGTTTATACCCTCTTTGTAGTTCATGCGCTCCCTGAGGGCAGGGGCAACTTCTGAATCATTTTAGTCTCTAGCACCTTGTACTTCATAGGAGCTTTGAGTTATCCACCAAAGATGCCCAGACATACTGGCTAGGCTCTGGGATGCGTGGGTGGGGGTACAAGGTAAAAAATAATAATAAGTCAATGAAAATGGTCTTTCTACAGTGCAACTAGGTGTTATGAAGGAAAACTGCATCAGGTGCCTGCCAGGTGGTAGGTATGCAATAATTGTTAGTTTCTTAAAGGGTGTCGTGAAAGCAAGCATGTCAAACCGCAACTTTGGAGGACACTTCCTAAAAGGGAAGGTGCTTGAGCTAAATTCTGAAGAACAAGTAAGAGTTAGAGAAATGAAAAGTGGTAAGGTTAGGGGGAAGTCTTCCAGCCAGAGAAAATGGCATGAGCAAAAGCACATATAGCTGAAGATGTGTGTTTTGGGTAGAGGCTTAAACTACTTGTAAACAAAAATTCTATATTCATTTACTCATTTCTCCTTTCTGCAAGGCCTAGTCTTTGGCATTAAAAACCAAGTTAAATTAAATTTGTCTTATGCCCTACTGATCAAAAAATTTTTAATTAATTAATTTTATTTTTGGCTGCATTGGGTCTTCGTTGCTGTGCACAGGCTTTCTCTAGTTGTGGCAAGCGGGGGCTGCTCTTCGTTGTGGTGCATGGGCTTCTCCTTGCGGTGGCTTCTCTTGTTGCGGAGGACAGGCTCTAGAGCACAGGCTCAGTAGTTGTGGCACACGAGCATAGTTCCTGTGCGGCATGTGGGATCTTCCCGGACCAGGGCTCGAACCCGTGTCCTCTGCATTGGCAGGCAGATTCTTAACCATTGTGCAACCAGGGAAGCCTTACTGATCAATTTTTATTAGGCTTCCTGCCAGATTTCCTAGAAGCTCCATCCATAGTTGTTTTAGGCAGTGGGCAGTGCTAACATTCAATCCTAATTCTCTTTTGTCACTAAAGAATTTGTGTTGTGTTCCCTAGACACTGTTGAAGTTCCTCATTTAGTTCCCTTGAGTATGGCTTGTGTCCTTTGTCTGATTTAAGACTTCAGGTCTCCAAATAAACAACCTAACTTTACACCTCGAGGAATTAGAAAAAGAAGTTCAATCTAAGCTCAAATTTAGCAGAAGGAAAGAAGTAATAAAGATTAGATAAAATGAAATAGAGACTAGACAGACAATAGAAAAAAACCAATGAAACTAAGAGCTGTTTCTTTGAAAAGATAAACAAAATTGACAAATCTTTAGCTAAACTAACCAAGATAAAAAGAGAGAGGACTCACAATTATAAATGAAAAAGGAGACGTTACAACTGTTATCACAGAAAGACTAATCATTACAAGAGGCCACTATGAAGAATTATATACCAACAAATTGGATAACCTAGAAGAAATGGATAAATTCCTTGAAACATATAAACTATGAAGACTGGATCAAGAAGTAGAAAATCTGAACAAACCAGTAATGATTAAGGAGATTGGATTGGTAATCAAAAATCTCTCACAAAGAAAAGCATGACCAGATGGTTTCACTGGTGAATTCTACCAAACTTTCAAAGAATAATTAACACTAGTCCTTCTCATACTCTTACCAAAACTTGAGGAGGAGGGAATAATCCCAAACTCATTACCAGCATTACCCTGATACCAAAGCCAGCTAAGGACACTACAAGAAAAGAGAACTGTAGGCCAATATCCCTGATAAATATTGATGCAAAAATTCTCAACAAAATACTAGCAAACGGTATATGTATGATTTGGTAAAATACGATCTGATAAAAGGATCATATACCATGATCAAGTGAGATTTATCTCTGGGATTCAGGGGTGGTTCAAGATAATGAAATCAATAAATGTGATACACCACATTCATAGAATGAAGGATAAAAATCATAAGATCCTTTCAATAGATGCAGAAAAGCTGTTTGACAAAATTCAACATCCTTTCATAATAAAAGACTCCCAACAAATTGGGTATAGAAGGATCATACCTCAACATGTTAAAAGCCCTGTATGACAAACCCACAGCTAACATCATAATGTTGAAAGTTTGAAAGCTTTTTCTCTGAGGTCAGGAAAAAGACAAGGGTGCCCACTTTCACCATTCTTTTTGAACATAGTACTGGAAGTTCTCGCCAGAGCAGTTAGGCAAGAAAAAGAAATAAAAGGCATCCAAATTAGAAAAGAAGAAGTAAAATCATCTCTGTTTGCAGATAACATGATCCTATATATAAAAAACCCTAAAAGACTCCACCAAAAAGCTGTTAGAACTTAAAAACAAATTTGGTAAAGTTGCAGGATACAAAATCAACATACAAAAGTCAGTTTCATTTCTATACAATAACAAACTATCTGAAAAAGAAATAAAGCAATCTCATTTACAATAGTGTCAAAGCAATAAAATATTAGGAATAAATTTAACCAAGAAGGTGAAAGATCTGTACACTGAAAACCATAAGACATTGATGAAAGACATTGAAAAAGAGACACAGATAAATGGAAAGATATCCCATACTCATGGATTGAGAGAATTAATATTGTTAAAATGTCCATACTCCCCAAAGCCATCTGTAGATTCAGTGCAATCCCTATAAAAATTCCAATGGCATTTTTCACAGAAATAGAAGAAACAATCCTAAAATCTGTATGGAACCACAAAAGAACCTAAACAGCCAAAGCAATCTTGTAAAAGAAGAGCAAAGTTTGGAGACATCACACTCTCTGATTTCAAACTACAGTTGGCCCTTGAACAGCATGGGTTTGAACTGCAAGGGTCTACTTACTTGGATTTTTTTCATTAACTGCTACTGTACTACACTATCTGTGGTTGGTTGAATCCTGGATGTGGAAGTGTGGATATGGAAAAGTTATATGTGGATTTTCGACTGCATGGGGAAGGAGGAGTTTGCTCCCCTAACCCCCATGTTGTTCAAGGCTCAACTGTATATGACAAAACTATGGTAATCAGAACAGTATGGTATAGACATGTAGACCAGTGGAACAGAATTGAGAGCCCAGAAATAAACCCACATGTATATGGTCAACTACTCTTTGACAGAGGAGCCAAGAATACTTAATGGGGAAAGGACAGTCTTTCATCAAATGGTGTTAGGATAACTGGACATCCACATGTGAAAGAATGACTTTGGACTCCTGTCTTACACCACTCACAAAAATTAACTCAAAATGGATTAAAGACCTAAATGTTAAGACCTGAAACCATAAAACTCCTGGAAGAAAACAGGGGAAAAAAATAAGTGGGACTT